AAAATATGTTGAATTTATTTGATTCCAAGTTTAGAAACGGAACTTATGAGATGGTTGTGGTTTAATTTTTTTTCTTCGGAGAATCCAAATATGAAATGCAACCAAGTTTGACAAACTAGTTTGGAGAATTTGATGTTTCCCCATTCAGACAGAATGCCCGAGAGGAGTTTCAAAGAGGGCCGCCAAGTGAAATGACTTGCCTTAAAGAGACTTTGCCATAGAAACACACAAACAACATGCAGCGAGCAGAGGCAATGCAGGGGGAACTACACGAGCCCAGAGGGGAGAGCATCACGTGTTAGGGTGAAAACCGATTTTCATTTAAACAAATTGATGTGAACTTCACACTCGACTTAATCGATTTTTCACCCAACCCTACCTTCTAGTGTTTTCTTTAGCACCAAAAAAAGTTTAGAACTACTTGAGAGTGAGTAAATAGTAAGTTCGCTGGCACTCATTGCTTTCCATAGTCATTTTTTGATGATGAAACATTCTTCAAAATATCTTCTTTTGTGTTTAACAGAGGAAAAAAACTCAAGCTATTAAAAGCACAATATAAGTGAGAATAAATGCTGAGGTTATTTTTCATTTTGGGGTGAAATATCCCTTTAACAAATACTCTACTTACAGCTCCAAACTTGACTGGCGAGAGATCGGGGACAAAGGCTTCTGGGTAGACATTGGATAGGTACCAGGAAAAGTTCTTGCACTGTAAATCTTCTCGGAGTTTCAGACGGTCAGAAATATCCCCAAAGCCTTTCTACACAACCATACAAGAAACAGGTTATTATTGGACTTCCAAACATGACCACAAGCATCAGGTTCATATTTTAATCCCCTGAAAGCAAAAGCATATCTTACTTCTTTGGCCATTTTAGCTGCGCTTTGGCTGCGTCTGTAGAAAATCAGCTTGTAGTCGTCCATCCACACCTCCGCCAAGCGCACCTGGTTACGTGTAATGACCTCTGTACCTTTGGGGAAGGTGTGAGGACTCTTGGTGCGAAACACATGACCAACGACAGAGCAGGGGATTATTTCCAACTGTCCACCACACTGCCATACCTGATGCACACACAATTCAACATCACATTAATACTGTATGTGAGGCTTTATGACTTCTAAATATAACGCAATATGTAAAAACGGAATTTAACAGAATTTCAATTATTATGCCATTTAAATATATACTTAATAAAAGCACACGATTATGCCAAATTAAATTAAAAAAAAATATTTAAAAAAACGTTTTTTAAAAAATCTCATAATTACGCCATTTAAATATATAGAAAGAAATTCACAGAACTATGCCATTTAAATATACAAACATACATGCATACATTAACATTAAACCAAAAAAAAGAAAAAGAGGCCAAAATATAGCCACAGGACAATTCTGAAGAGCTACTACTCACCCTGAAAGACATCTCGACATTTTCACCACCCCAGATCTCCATTTTGTCATCATACGTCCCAATTTTCTCAAAGTAGGCCTTAGATATAGAGAACAAGCCACCAGCAAATGTTGGAGTTCTGAAAAGAAAAAAATAGTTCAAGTTATCCAAGTGCCAATAATTAATCAGTCACACTTCATTATTTTTTGTTTAAACTAACAACATTTAAAAAAGAAAATGTAGAAAATGTATATACAGTATTTGCTTTCCAAACAGAACACATGGTTCTTACTCTTAACCAATGCCGAATTCCCTGACTTTTCTGCGACTTTGACTGATTAAAAAGCTGAATTATTAAGGCAAATAAAAAAAGGCACTGTTGCTTTGCAAATTATTAAAATGTCTGAGCTTGAATATAATTTTTTTGTGAATTTAATAGCTGTTATATAGGTTATTACCAAAGTGTTATGTATTACAAACATTTCATGTATTTTCAACAGATAATACAGCACATTATGAGGTCAACTTATGTATAATAATGGCAGATTCTAAAAGGATATTGACATGCAAATTAACTATGCACAAATATAAAATGTAAAACAAAAAGCATTCAACAGAACTAACCCTTTTGTATCGTATATTCTGAACTTATCACAATTTACTTCCCATTTCACCAGCTAGTTAAACTGGTGTGAATCCAAGAAATGTATTGACAAGATGAGAAGCATGAGAAATCACACATCACAATAGGCAGTTTCACTGCACTTCAAGACAACCAGAGAATCGACACAAAGGTTATGAATAACCAAATGACCGTATAAACCATTTCAATGTGATGATGCCAAGGGCCCGTGAACACTTCCTGCTTGTTGTCAAACTATTTCACAACCGTAAAAAGAGCCAATTCAATCATATCTTAACATAAAACAGCTATCATAACATTATTTATCAATATGTGGACCTTTTTGGATTCTCGGAAGCTATGGAAATTAAAGATGTAAAACTGGAAATAGAATAGGACCATTGTTATTGTTTACAACCCTTAAAATGGTCTATAGATCATACATGAAACCTACACACTAAAAATGTTTTGCTGTTTCAACACAAATTTTACCAAAATCTTATATAAAAATGTAATCGTAGTAGAAGTGGTAGCAGTTATAATAATAACAATAATAACTACAACAACAAATTAATAATTGGTGTAATCATTCTAATTACTTTTATATGATATGGTTATAGTAAACTGACTGGAAGTTCAATATTTGAACTCAACAGACACTCAAATGCCGGGCATGCTTATTCATGAAAAAGTCAGACTGACCAGATGAACAAGATCTGACTATCTGGATAAAAGAACAAATGAATCATTGCACATAACGCACCACATGATGCCGTGTCACACGTGGAACCTGCATTCAAAAATGAGGATGTATCTATAGAAGTATTCAAACAATTCAAAAATTTTAGAGTGATAATAATATAATTCGTAATATATGGGCCACTATACAGAATGGGTTCAAATACAGAGTTTTCATTTTGAAAATGAATGTTTCATTTCACAGTTCTAGTAATTGTGCAGTTAATCCTTACATTATATTATCAGATTCTTGAGGGGAATATTTTTCACAGAAATACACTGTTTTGGTAGTGATGTGAAAAACGTTTAAAAACAAACTTTGTTTGAAATTTAGTTTTTAAAAAATTATTAAAAAGATACTTTTAAAACAACATTGGAGAAAACAAAAATACAAACCAAAACAAATTTAAATAAAAATGGGGCATTTCTGAAAGTGTGGCCAATACTACATTAATTTTCAACAGTTGTGAATGAATTCTTCTCCATTATTCTACACCAGGGGTCACCAATCTCGTTCCTGGAGGTCCGGTGCCCTGCAGGGTTTAGCTCCAACTTGCCTCAGCACACCTGCCTGGGTGCTTCAAGTATACCTAGTAAGACCTTGATTAGGTTGTTCAGATTAGGTTGACCTTGATTAGGTTGTTCATGTTTGATTAGGGTTGAGGCTAAAATCTGCGGGACAGTTTGGTGATCCCTGTTCTTCACTCTTACTACTAGTGATGCCTGATATTTTGTTATTCAGCGATATATATGGCGATAAGAAAACCATGTCAGCAGATGACTTAAACATCTCTATTTGGAAAGAATGAATAACTTCAGATTGACTGAGATGAATCTATAGAGAAGTGCATAACATATAACTAACAGTCTACAAACATAGATCAATACATTTAAAAAAAAAAAAGATACAATTGAAATAAACAAGGGCGGCACGGTGGCCCAATGGTTAGCACTGTAGCCTCACAGCAAGATGGTCGCTGGCTCGAGTCCCAGCCGGGCCAGTTGGCATTTCTGTATGGAGTTTGCATGTTCTCCCCGTGCTCGTGTGGGTTTTCTCCGGGTGCTTCGGTTTCCCCACAGTACAAAGACATTAGAGGGATATGAGAGTTGCGCAACCCCTGATAATAAGGGACTGAGCCGAAGGAAAATGAATGAAATAAACAATGTTTTCCGAATCTAACAGAATTCAGGTATAGTAATTGAACAATAAAAATAATTCAATATTAAAAAGTTACAAACAATACAATATCTTAATCGTAAATGATTTTAAAATCATTATACAGTCACAGACCTCAAATACTCACGAGTGACAATACATGAAAATGAAAACATAATATATAATAATAACATATAGACTCACTCAACCCTGCAATTTACACATTGCGATCACACTGCGATATCAATGCAGAAACAATATATCGTGCAGCCCTAATTGCTACTCATTGTATGTATCTTAATCAGATGTGTGTGCTTGTGTACGGGTCTGAGTTTTAGAGTGTTTTCTGTTAAATATAAATTTCATAATTTAACATTATTTAAATCTTAACAAATTTATCTGAATTAATAATTTAAAGAAAAAAGAAAAAGATTTGTGTATGATATTGAAAAATCTGAATAAATCGATAACCAACCCTAATCATTGTTTTTGACCATAACGTAAAACAGTCTACCGGCAGCCCTAAATAAACCATAACATTGACAAACATTCTATTTTACTCCAATTTTATTCTATTTTTACTGCAAAAAAATATATAAGATAAGAAAAGTATGGCGTCATCCATTTATAAACGATGCTTGTATGTTTGTCATGAATGTCAATCCTAAACAAATGTATTTTTTAAAGGCGAACGTGAAACTGAAACTGTACATGTGAATACCAAATACATATACCATTTCACATTTAACACAAACATCATTATATAAATTGCTTTGGAATATGAAAAATCATTTTCGATATTATTCCTAAAAATATGTTTAGTCAAACATCAAGTCAGCAGTCCTTTAAAGTACTTGTAACTTTCTTGTGATTGGTCAATTTAGATTTAATCATCAAAACATTTATGAATAAATAACACATTGAAACACCTAGAAAATGACCCAGATATAACACCATCCAGAGTGATCACTTTTTTGACCACCCCATCAGAATATATTTGGTAGTAATAACTAACTGTATTTAAGTGAGGCTACACACACACAGTACTAAAAACTCTTCTATTATTCACAGAGCAAATATACATTTCTATGGAAGGTTCAATATTGACACAGCAATCCCAACATATTGAATACACACGTCTGCAGCTATTTTTGCTAATAAAAAGGTGCAGAACTCACTTTACAGGGTAGGTCTCATCCTTGCGTTTAGCGTTCTCATAATCTGGAATTCCCTCCCAGCCAAAAGTAAGACTCCAGTCAAAGTTGCCCCTGTTATGTGCACGAGCCGTTGCCACAGGTTTGTGGAACTGGAAAGTGTTTAAATCGATGGTTGTGATCTCAGGGCTCACAACGGCCGTGGGCTCTTCAACAATTCGAGCAAGAAGAGGCTCGAGCCAGCCATGGAAACACTCACCTTTAACAAAAAGAAAGAAACTGCTTAGAGACAAAGTTCACCCAAACATTTCAAATCTGCCATCATTTTCTCACCCTTTCCATGTTTCAAACCTTTTGGAGTTTTATTTTTGTTGAACACAAAAGAAGATATTTTGAAGAATGCCGAGTATTTGTTTTTTCTACTATGAAAGTCGATGGTTACAGCTTTTTTTTCCCCAACAAAATAAACTTGTTAAACATTTTGGAACCACTTGAGGGCGAGTAAATAGTGAATAAATGTAAATGTTTGAGTGAAATGCCCCTTAAAATGTCACAAATATGCTTATAAGGTATGTAAATAATATGTTAAAAATATGTTGATGGGAAGCATTACACGTCAGGTGAAACATGAGCTGCTTTAAAAAAAAGTTTATATGGAAAATGAAAGAAATAAAATAAAATAATTAACAACTGGATTTTAAAATGTACTTTCAATGAATTTTTTTGGGGGGTCTAAAAACTATACATCTTAAATCATCTTAAATTATACATCTTGAAACTAAATAAAATAAAATAAAAATAAAATTGATATAAAATTTATATAAAAATTATATTAAAAAACTAAAGAAAATAAAAAAAATATAAAAAGTAAATAAAATAATACAATTAAAATAAAAAAATTAAAAAGTATTAAAATAAAATAACTTTACAAATGAACTTTGAAATGTACTTTCAATTTTTTCTACTATGAATGTCGATGGTTACAGCTTTTTTTTCCCAACAAAATAAACTTATTAAACATTTTGGAACCCCTAGAGGGTGAGTAAATAGTGAATAAATGTAAATTTTTGAGTGAAGTGCCCCTTAAAATGTCACGAATATGCGTATAAGATATGTAAATAATATGTCAAAAATATGTTGATGGGAAACATTAACGTCATGATGGGAAACACGTCAGGTGTAACATGAGCTGCTAGCCTTAGAATAGCTCAAAGCAAAAAAGATAAGCATCACATACTATCCTTTTGTCACCATGCATGACTTTTCAAATGACGTGAATGCCAGAAAATGAAAATAAGTATTGTGGGAGTAGCAGTTTGAGCTCATGCCTTTGCACCTGAAGAGCAAGTTCCTGAAAAACGACTTCCCACCCAGTTGTGTAATAAAAAAAGAGATTGGTGGCTGTTAATGACATGCAAACAGAAGTTGGAATGTGATGAAATGCGTACAGTGAGCGTCCAGGAACGTGAGAATTTCTCCTTCAGCTTTACTTGCTCCAAGAAGCCTCGCTGTGATCAGGCCTTTCCTCTCGGGCTGACGCACCACCTTCACGATCTTCAGTGCTTTCACATACTCCTCCAGCTTTCCATGAAGGTGTTCTAAAAAAACAAAACAAAAAAAAAAAAAAACTGTGTCAAATAGGGTGTCTTCCTTGTTTTCAAGTTTTTAAGGGCTGTGTGTGAAGAGTGCCATTAGGCGTTTACGGTTATACCTGCTTCACTGCTTATTACATAGCAAATACATATTAAATATTTATTAAACATGCATATCAATGCAATAAAAACTATTGATAAAATTAACTTTAACAAAGAATAAAAGGACAAAAAAAATTCTTTAAAAATTTATTTGATTAAATTTTTTTGTTGTCCATAAATTATATTCATTTTAATACTTTTTTTAATATTTATTTATGTGAAGGTAAGGATCCATTTTACATGAATGATGGATATTATCTTAGTACTTATTACTAATGTAAATTTGCGACATGCATGTTTTTGCACTAAAACGTTCAAAATATATATGAACAAAGAAAAAAAAGAAGTTTATCCGGAATAAAAATAAAATAATACACAGCTGGAATTTAAATGTATTGTACTTTCAATTAATTTTTTCTGGGTCTATAAATTACACATCTTTAAAAGGTTATCCAAAGTAAAAGAAAAGAGAAAAATAAAAGAAAAAAAATAAAATAAAAATGATAAATGAAAATAAAAGAAAAATAATAAAATGAAATAATAAATTAAATAATAACTGGACAATAGTACAAATGTTTTTTTAAATAAATGACTAAAATGATTCAGAAAGCATGCGTCAAATTGACCAAAAGCAGAAGAAAACCATTTATACTCACGCCAGATGTTAAAATTATTGAATCTTTATTTTGAAGATCAACTTTCTCTTTACACAAATATCAAGCAGCATACTGAATGATTTCTGAAGGATCATGCGACACTTGAGTAATGATACTGAAAAATCTGCTTTGCCATAAACAACAAACAACATTTTAAAATACTCATTAAATACTGTTAAATGCTATACTAAATTGTCTGTGCAGTTTTACTGTATTTTTGATCTAACGAATGCAGCCTTGATGGGCACAAGGGACATAAGTAGCAGTGCATACAAATTCACACAATAGCTCTAACTTTAATAGTCAACTGTTCAAAGTGACATTTCTCGAAGTATAAAAATAGACCTTAAGCAGAGCGAGGCGCCCTGATGAAACAAAGTACTTCCTGTGGTGAGACTTGAAGCGAACTGACACACTTCCTTGATCTTATACTGTAGCACTAATGCCAAATACTCAAGCAAAAGGTAGTATACTATAAAAAAAGACTTGTCTAGTCAGTTATACTACAAATCAATTTAAGGTGATCAGAACTACTGCTACTTTTAACCAGATAAATAAATAAAATCTCTCAAAAGCAGATTGATGTTTTTAAATTCCAATGAATTGTATTACTTTCATCTGCCTGAAGAAACACAGATGTGACATTCCAGAAGATTCCACTAGATAAAGCTGTTTGCTATTGACCAAAGAGCATTGATTAACACTTCTTCAAGGTGTGGTTTATTTTTTACAACAGGAGCAGATAAAGCCTGGCTCACCTGCAGTGCTGGCGTCATCCACCATTATGATTTCTTTGAGAAAGGCCGCTGGGGAGGTGTGCAGAACGCTGTACACAGTGCGCAGTAGTGTTGACCATGCTTCATTGTGAAACACGATGATCACGCTGGTGGTGGGAAGAGCAGGACATCGGCGAAACTTGCGATCGACACACCTTTAAGTATCAGATGCAAAAAAACAAAACAAAAAAAAAACAGGGTACAAAAAATATTTGTTAAAAGGGTACAGTTGTAAAATGCATAATTGTAAGTAATACAATTAAAATTACTATGGTTATTACTTTTGAAACACATTTTCATATGTATTCTTTATTTTTTTTTAATAACTACACTACCAGTCAGCACTTTGCGGTCAGTCTATTTTTTTTTTTAAACAGGTTTATTTTTCTTTAAGAAAAAAAAGTTAAATTGTTAAATACTTATTTATTAAATGTTTATTTATTACTTATTGTGTGTTGTTTCAAATGAAATTACTCAAGTCATTATTGCTTTTATTACCATAAATAATAAAAATAATATTAAGAATAGGAATAACAACAATAATAATTAATATAATATTAGAGTGATTTCTTAAGAATCATGTGACTGAAGACTGGAAAATTCATCCTCAAAATCCCTAAAATAAATTATTAAATAATAAAACTTCTTTTGAACAATTATTTTAGTGCAACAACATTTCACAATTTTACAATTTGGACTGTATTTTTGATAAAATGAATGCCACCTTAGTGATCATTATAAGCTTATTTTAAAACATTAAAATGAGCCCAAACTTTTGACCAGTGGTGTAATTACTGTAATTTAAATGTATTATAATTGTAAATGTCTGTGTCCCTTTGTAATTTTTATTATTTATACATTTCTTTACATATTGATATATTGTTTTATTACAAGACTATTTTTGTTTTCAATAATCTTTTACTTCCAATTAAAAAAAAAAAAAGTTTAATCTAAAACTTAAAACAAAATAATGGCAAATGTTTTGAAACTACCTGAAAAAAAAAAAACATTTTCACATTTTTTTTTTTTACTTAGAATTTAGTGGTGTGGTTCTGGTTTAAATCATCTTATTGTAACGTGAAATTATATACACACACACACCAGGGTTACTATAGTTAAACAATTAACCTTAAATGATTTTATGAAGTTTAATTACATTATTTCAGGATATTAAGGAAAAATGTCCAACTGTGATTTACACATGAAGTGGAGCAAAACGTAAACTAATCAAAATTGTCCTAAGGCAAGAATGGGTGTTGTTCAATTGTTTAAGAACTACTTTGATTAAAAGGTTTTAAACCACTTTAAATGTTGACTACTGTAAATGGAACTCAACTGCACTAAAATATCAAAAACAAAAATAAGCTTGTTTCTGCCACTTTTATGTCTGTATTAGAATATGACGATATTATTTATATACATGCATTTTTTTTTTGTTTTTAAGGTTTGCATGCTTTAGACCAGAGGTGCCCAAAGTAGGGCCAGCAGGCCAAAGTTGGGCCAGGATCTTTTCAAGGAATCTTTTCTAGTTATTTTAGATAATAGCAAACAAATGCTCAACCAAGTTTAGTTTTTGGGACTTTATGAGAAAAAGTTTGGGCACCCTTTCTTTAGACACTGTTTTCCATGGTGTCTTAAATCCCTCACAAATCTTAAATCCCTCACTCATCATTGTGTGTTGTACACTCGGGTAGGATGGTCTCCCCTCATATCTCCAAACTTACATTTATTAAAAATTATAATAAATTAAATAAAAAAATAACAATAATTAAATAATTAAAAATAATAATAAATAAATAAATAAACTCTCAAGCTATAGCCTTCGGTATCAGAAAGTATATTTATTGCCTGTACCAGTGGTGCGTACTGTCATAAAAAAAAAGGCTTTTAAATAAGCAGCAACTTTTCCATAGAATAACCTCCAAACAAAGTTGCAGTTAAGAGTTGGTTTCATTACAAGCTTTTAAAAAGATTTTAAATGATTTGGGGTTTAAAACATTTGCCTGTAGATGTTCTAAATAGTTTTTAACTGTCATTGTACGTGTTTTGATGGATGAATGATGTTACATGTTATTTGTTTGTTTGTTAAACTCATGTGAACTGTATGCAGCCTAATCTTGGCCAGGACACTCTTGTAAAAGAGATTTTTAATCTCAATGTGCTTTTCCTAGTAAAATAAAGGGTATAATAATAATAAGAAGAAGAAGAAGAAGATTTTTTTTTTAAAAAGAAAGGATAAATAAATTAACTTTTAAAAACAAACAAATAAAATAAAACTACAAAAGCATCTCTGTGATACTACAATGACCATAACACACCTCAAAATATGGAAGGTTCCAAATAATTAACCTAATTATAAGTTTAAACCACGTACTGTAATAACCAGTACTATCAATATGCTGACTTATGCTAATGATTCAAGTCTCGTTAATACACAACAGTGTTTAAATATGATAAGATTTATAAGATTCCTTGTGCCAACCCATTTTTAAGAGTGATGCAACAAGTGAAGGCGTGATTTGTAAACTGCACATGCAGCAGAACAGTTAAGACACTAATCTACAATGAGTGTTTGGGCAGCATTTATATAGCTTTAGCCCCAGCCCTTAAATCAACAATAGTCTGCACCTTCAAGTTGCTGTGTAAACAGATCAACTTTAATTAAAGGGCACATAAAATCCCAGCAAACATTACAGCATACGTCATGAGTGCTTTAATCTATGAAGGGAATCATTATTACGCCAGATTGGATTGTGAATTGAATGAATTGTGCTGCACATTTTCTGCACACAATGTGCCTATTCTTACTCAGGCGGACGGGTGTCATCTCCAAGAGTGCGGTGCAAGGAGATTCGGTCACTGGCGAATTGGTTAAAGCAGTGTCTGGTCATGCCCTCCTGCTTCTCCTTCTCCTCCTCTTTGGTCATCCGGTCATACTGGAAAGGTACACCATCGGCTCCTGGGGCTTGAGGGTTTTCAGGAGGCCTCTCGATCCATGGTTTAAGCTCCCGCTGAGTGTAGAAGCCAGATGGGCAGTTTCGGTCCGGGGTGGGTTGTACTTCCACTGATGGACGCACAGGGGCTCCTATTTGGAAGGCAAAGTTATTGACAGCCCCGCGGACCATCTCGAACACCCTCTCCTTTTTGTTGGAGAGATCTTGCAGCCAGGGGTCCTGAAGAGCACCGCTGTTAACGTCTCTCTGGAGCACCACTAGAATGAGCATAAAAAGTGTCCCACCGACAATGGCAAGCTTCAGGGGCGAAAGACGACGCCTTAAACGCATTCTGCCAGTCGATCTCAGTCAACCGCCTGTGAAAACAGACCAAAAATATATAAATAATCACATATAAAGAACATGCATTTGCCAATAAAGAGATGAATCAGCTGAAAATGATAATTGTCGTCAAGTTATTACAAACCTGTTTGAATTAATGTTCTGAACATTAGAGCTGGGCGATTTGGCCTAAAATCAATATCTCGATTAATTGAACATTTTAACTGGATGACAATAAATGAATGATTATTTTATTTACTTATTTTAGGTTTTTGCCCTCATAGTTCACTGATAAGTTTTGTACAAATATGATTTTTAAATACGCTATTTTTTAATGTAATTAACACACTAACGTAAACACACTATGATCTATGATTATTTATTAAACATCAACGCTGAAAAACTAAAATTAAAACACATTGCCTAAAGCATGGCTCTCCGAACTGCGAAGGCTGCAGAAAACTATATGCTTGGCTGAAGTATAATATCAGAATAATTTAAAAAGTATAAATCAGCCTAAACAGACTGGGGACATGTGACTCCACATACGAAAAAGTAATTGAAAAAATTTGACCTGGAAAAATTAGATCGATTATAGGTTCTAAATGTCAATTTCAATTACACTGTAAAACCAAACAGTCAACTTTATAAAAAAAAATAGTGTAGTTAACTCAAAATTGACTGCAAGTAAATTCTACTCATTTGAAAAGAGTTTTGAAATCAGTGTTGAAGATAATGAGTTAATTAATAACCTTATTACTTCAACTTTAATGGAGTAAGGTCACAGTACTCATATTGATTTTAAAAAATGGTTTGTAGCAATTTCCTCAAATGGTTTGAGTTGCCTTAACTTACTGGTTTTGCAGTACTCAATTAGTTCGAGTTCTCTCCCTTTATTTGGTTTCACTGTGCTCAAATTGCTTCATTTACTCAAATGGATTAAGTTCACAGTACTCATTAGGATTAGTTTTTGAACTTAAATGGTTTGTTGCAACCGGTTTCCTCAAATGGTTTGAGTTAACTTTTTGGGTCGTGCAGTGTAGTTTTTGGTTAATCGCCCAGCCCTACTGAACATAATTCTAACTCTCCATCGACAAACTGTATCAATGTCTCTTTTAAATAAATATATAACTGTGATGTACATACCCCTATAACACTGGTCACCATGCTTTTTAGAATGACTTACCAAAAAAAAAAATTAAATTATGTTATAAATATAGCAGGAGATCTGTGCAAATTTATTATATAAAAACTAATCTAGGGGTTCTACGGTGGAAGGAAGATTTGTAGAGATATGGCAATGATACTCCTACACTTGCTTCCACACACATTCTGAAGACCAGCAATGACTGTTCGAGAAGCAATATGCAGTATAACACATCTCACTTGTTCTCTACGCGACAAGAATTTAGTATTCAAAATAGCATAATCTAACACCATGACTATCATAACTGTTAAAACCTTGTAGTAGCCTGAAACTGCCATGTGTTATTTTGAATGTGGGTTACCCACATTCCTCAAACAATCTACTTTTATGTCCAACAAAACAAGGTGAAATGCAATTAGGTTCAGAACAGCTTGAGGGTGAGGAAATAATCATGTTTATTTGAAGCCATCCCTTTTAATGGAAAATACATTTCTTTTCAAATAAATCATTTTAATACTTAATCAAAACTCAAGACTAAAACAATGATAACAATATTATTTAAATGAACAATAAGGAAATATTACTACAAACAAAAAGTGAAAAAGCACAAAATACACAACAAAAAATACCAATAATAACAATTTTTATAAAATCTTTAAATTTTATATTTAATCATTTTAACATTTGACCAAAATAAGCTGTTTAAGATGTTAAATAAAGTAAACATTTTGTTTTATTTAACATTTATAAGATAGAAAAAAACAAACAGTACATTAAAATAGTACATAATTTTGCCCCCCCCCCCCCCCCCCCCCCCCACCATTGTATTGTCTCAGTTACTATATATATATTTGAATTTATCTAACCTTTCTTTACTTTCGACAGGGCTTCTTCCCAGAACTCATCTGCTAATTCTTCATTTAAATCTATGGCCCAAGCTGTCCTAATGTGCCTAGTGCATATTGGTGCCTCAAAAGCATGCACAAAGCTAGATGTCAGAGGTCTTTTATTAGGGTTTTAATAAAATAAACAGTAAGCGACATTAATAAAAGCTCAGTATGGGACAGACATTGGCATTTAACATTGTGTCATTCTCAGATGTAAGCAGCTTTATCTGGCTGTTTTTTTATATATTGTAAAAATGGTTTCGTGACGACAATTTTAGAGTTTATATAGTCCCGTTCCACACGAAATCAAGCCAAGCCCCACGTGTAATTAGCAGCGAAAGCCTGCACTGTGGACTCACATGGATCACAGCAACAGCGCAAACAAACCTCACCTGACAACAAACACCCTTCTGCACCTGATCCTTCCCTTCCTTCGCCCTGCTGGATTGACGTGGCAGCAGGTGCTTCACTACACACACTCACTCACACACACCTCTAATGGGTGGCATTGGAATCTTTGCATAAACACACTTCACAATTGTGACACGTCACCTGTCTAACTGCACATAATAAAAAAAAGACAAACCTTTGCCTTACTTGGAAAGAAGTTTAAAGGGTCACCTTAAGAAGTGCCACAGTAAAACCACTATTAATCATTACATTTAAACATTAATATTTAAAGTAGGAAATGTGATGAATATGGAACCTATGGCTTTAAATGAATCAGTAACCTCAGCGCTCATGACACCAGTCTATTTAAACTCATCTACATCACAAATCCCAAGACACAAGTAGCCAACAGAGACAGTCAGGCCAACTTCTGCTGTTCTCTTGTGTAGGTGTTCAGAGTTTCCTAATTACCGAGTAAAACTGGTTTCCCTGCTTTGTGTGTGAACTGAATGGCAAGAACGTAAAATAGTCATTATTGTTATAAGCACATGTAAAAGTGATACTTCACCCTAAAATGAAAATTTACTTTCCTTTATGTGGCTCCAAACCTTTGAGTTTATTTCTCCTGTTGAACACAAAAGACGATACCTTGAAGAAAGCTAATAACAGGTAATGATTGACATCTATAGTAGGAAGACAAATGGAAATCAATGGTCAACTTTATTCAACAAATCCTAAGTTTCAGGTGAACAATACCTTTAAGAAACATTGCTTGAACATTTTTTTCCAAGTAAAGGATGAGTAACTGATGACAAATTTAGGTTTTAGGTGAACTATCCCTTTAAGTATCATTGCTTATTGAGGCAAAGTAGTTTTATGAACACACATTCGTTTTTTTGACAACTTGTGACATGTTCCCTATATTGTTTACCACGGTACTAAGGAGAAACTCCGAATTTGTGAATAAAACAAACTTAACCTCAATTCACTGCTTTAACCATTTTGTAAACAGAACGAACGCCAACCACTTCCTTGAAGTTTTAATAAATATCGCCACGCAGCATGACCACTAAACGAAACTTCTCTAAATACATACAAGGAAGTGAGTCTGGCACAGATAGTGCTTAAAGTATTTACAGAATCAAAGGAGTTGTAATAATGTTCAATAGCCTTTTTAAAAGTAAAATTACAACAAAGTAGTTGGTGTGTGTGAGTGTTATAGAGAAGTAATTTACACTACTAACAATGAGGATGAAGCCCACTCATGTCAATGAGGAGAGGAAGATAAGTCGATGTTATCTCTCTGACAACAGATGTGATGCGAAACACTTGAAAACAAATGAAGCCCTCATTTAAGTAATTCTTCGAACTTTACCTGTAAGAAGATTAGTCAATCATGTGCTTCTCCTCCCAGAGACAGATAGTACTGATAGATCGGCGTTTCCTCGCCTTGCGCGGCGCCGTTTTCTTAAGCTGTGAGTAGATGGACAGATGGACGCAATGACGGATGATGTTGTTACTCTGTATCTTCGAGTTTTAGATGTTTTGAGTTTAATAAGTGCGCGACGGTTTCACGCGAGCAGCAGCGCTGGCCTCCCGGCTTCCCTTTGAACGCAACAGGTGCCATTCGTTCAAATGATTGAGAGTCATCTGGGTCCTAAAGCCGGAGATCTCCATCTGAGGATTCGAATCTCCTTTCAGGGACTCGAATCTTTTGGATGTATTTACGTTCACTAAGAAAGTCTCTTTATAATTATTCGTTCGTTCATTTATGCATTCATTCATTCATTCATTCATTTTTTTCGGCTTAGTCCCTTTATTAATCAGGGGTCGTCACAGCAGAATGAACCGCCAACTTATGCAGCACATGTTTTATGCAGCGGATGCACTTCCATCCGCAACCTAATACTTGGAAACACTCTCACACCCGAACACATACACTACGGCCAATTCAACTTATTCAATTCACCTGTACGGCATGTCTTTGGACTTGTAGGGTAAACTGGATCACCCAAAGGAAACCCACACGAACACGGGAGAGCATGCAAACCCCACAGAAACACTAACTCACCCAGCTGGGGCTCGAACCAGCGACCTTCTTGCTGTGAGGCGATTGTGCTACCCAGTGTGCCACCATACTGCTTTATTATTATTATTTATGGTAATAATAATAATAATAATAATAATAATAATAATAATAATTATTATTATTATTATTATTATTATTATTATTATTATCATCATTATTATTTCTATTTTACAACACAGAACATACAAGAGCAATAACATTAAATTGACATAAAAATAAATATAATACAAAAAGGAAAAAATAAAATTATTCAAAGAGAAGATTTAAAGCTTTAAGATAATTAAGTTCTTTTTGCTTTGATATTTTTTGTTTCTTTCATCGTACATAGGTTATGACCTATTTCTATTTTAAAGTGGGTAAATTTTTTTTTTTCACTGCCTATTTACATTAATGATAAAAAATCCATAAATAACGAGCAAAACAACAATTTATCAAATTTTGAAGTCATTTTTATTCTCATCTTTTTCTTTGAATTCCACAGCAATATTCTTACTCTGGTTAACAAAAAATAAAAGATCACACCAAAGTAATTGTGTATAAATACAATCATAAAATAAATGAACAATAGAAAGCACATTTTAAATCAACATCTTTACAAAATGTAGAGTTTACCTGTTTTACAGGATGAATACGATGAACAATTTTAAATGATGCCTCTCTAATTCTGTTATACAAAAACGACTGCAAATGTAATGAAAATAAGCCCACCAGCTCGTCTTCAGCGGGAGAAATGTGAGTTCGTAAGGATCAAAATTGATGGCTTTCTCTCAAAGCACTGTCATGCAAGGTGGTGTTTATTTACAGTGCCAAAAACTCCATCCACAGTGGAGGTATATACTGTACAGTGCAAAAAAAAAAAAAACTAAAAAGTACCAAAGAAACTTTTAAGAATCTTAAAAGTCTTGTTCCAGTTGACATCTTGAAATTGTGATCTCCGAAAATTAATGGCTGAAGAAACACTGACCATCTGGCAAATCATTCAAAGATAATTATTACATCTTTCTTTTATATTCATACCTTCCAATTTCAGACTAAAATCTGAATTTGTATTTTGAACTATATCATTTTCTAATAATTTCTTCAGTTCTGAGGGAATACCATGAATCCAGGAAAGATTTATTGACTGACATATTTTCAAATCAAATCAAATCACTTTTATTGTCACATCATCAGCAGCACATGTGCTATAATGAGTGAAAAGTTTAGGTGCTGGCTCCAGACAGTACAAAATATTTGCAGTCTCAGCTTGCATCATCAAGGCTGCATACAGATACTATTGGCTCACATGGGTGTGCCTGAATGTAGCAGTATTTATTTTGTGAGTTCTAAAGTTTAATGTGATGCATAAAGGGATGGTGCTCTTCAAATTAATGTTTTTTTTTATTTTATTATTCCGTTAACCCTTGTTTATACATGTGGACATGTTTGCGTAATTTTATTAAAAAATTTTTCAATCCACCAGTGTCTCTTTTAAAATTAACATGCAAATGCAAATTAGCTTAGCCTTCCAAGATATTGCTTATTTCTTATGTCTATCATTAAACTATTTTAGCTGAAACTGTGCACCCTTAATGATTTAGTGACAATGGTAATAAACAATGTAATATAAGGTGATTACTATACAAGTTCACCCCTCACAAATCTATCATGAATGGGTTGAGGCAGGAAGGGCATCCGCGGCATAAAACATGTGCTGGATAAGTTGGCGGTTCATTCCGCTGTGGCGACCCCAGATTAATAAAGGGACTAAGCCGAAAAGACAATGAATGTATGAATGAATATCTGTTTAATAAATCTGTTTTTTAAAACACCAAAATAGATTGCCTATTCACTGAGAAATGGATAAAAATATTCATTTTCAAGATGAATGGGGTGTTCTTAATTATGCTGAGCACTGTAATAATATACTATTAGTTTTATATTTATATGTAATTTATATTCATATTTATTTATATTTTATTTATTTTTTATAAGTCATGTGTTGTGCACCTCTAGGCCAGGTCACCCTTGTAAATGACTATTGTAATACTTTTTTTTATCTGCTTAAGTAAAGAAACATAGTGTGTTTGTGACTCTGAAGAGCAATGTTTCTATAAAAAAAATCACAAATATGCTGATGCTGTTTGTTTACAATGCAGTGGGTGGGAGGATGCATGTGTGCTTAGATGTTGCAAATGCTAAAGCTGTAAACAAATAGCATCAGCTTACATGTATGTTTGCACCCATGCAATGAATCTTACATTGCAGTGTTGTGAATATTTGATTTCTCAGGGTGATTGTTTACAGGTAATAATGTTCAATTCCTTGCAGAAGCTAAACATTTGTAAAAACTGTATTGAGAGGAGCCATGTTATGGTTATGGTTGTATGTGTATTTGAAAGCTTCAGCTAAAATATTTTAAGAAAAAAAAAATAAAAGAAATTTAATTTGTGCAAACTGTCCCTTTAATCTGTTTTTAGTAGACAAACGACTAAATAAAGTTGTCTTTAACGTTTTCTTTCCCCAACTGCTGTCTGTGACATGTTGTGAAACTAGAAACTTAAAAGGAAAAAGGCCCTTAGATGTTTTTACACACCAGTTTACACCTCTTTCTCTCTTGTTTCCTGTGCTAAAAAATATACCCTTTAGGCAGTGGACCAACATTTACAAATAAGATGCTCAGAAAAATGTAATACCAATGCTGACAATTAAAAGCACACACACACACACAAATTTAAATATTAATATATCTAAAAAGCAAATATAAGTTAAGTACAATAATAATATGCTTATTTATGTATTTTTTTCTACATTTCTTCTTTATGCTATTTCTCTATTTATTTCTGCTTTTATAGATTTGTACATTTATATTTTTTCATTTACACATTTATTTATTCATTTATTTATTTAAATCGTTAGCCTCACTGAAACACCCCCCCCCCCTTAAAGATAAAGAAATGAATAAATAAATAAATGTGGAAATAAACACTTGTAGAAATAAATAGCCTACACGTGAAAAGAAAGACATGAAGAAATAAATATGTAAATAAATAAATAAATGTGATAGTAGATTAAAGTAATAATAAATAAATTGAGATATAAAGCAAAGCATAAATAAATGTGGAAAATGCCATTTAAATAAAGATCTGAATAAAAATGTTTACTTTTATATGTAGCTACATTTATTTATTAATATTTGCATTTTTACATTTGATTTATTCATTTATTTATTTTTCTTTTCGGCTTAGTCATTTTATTAATCTGGAGTCACCATGAGAAACTTATTCTGAATATGTTTTACACATGGGATGCCCCTCCAGCTGCAAACCGTCACTGGGAAACAGCTATACACACTCATTCACTTACCCAATTCACCTATAGCAAATGTCTTTGGACTATAGCACATGTCTTTAGCACCCGGAGGAAACCCAAGCAAACACGGGGAGAACATGCCAACTCCATACAGAAATGCCAACTAACCCAGCCGAGACTCGAACCAGCGAGCTTCTTGCTGTGAGCCACCGTGCAGCTGAGCCCACATATGATTTCTAATTCAGTCCACTTCGGGATTCCATACAAAACAAGTCTCTCATTTGAATTCATACTTTTTTAAAGTCTGTAGTTCAGACTCTAAACACTGACTCGTTCACTGAGGAAAGTGATTCTTCAAGAAAGCGCACTTGATGAAGACTGGGAAAAAAGAGACTCAGATGAACGAGTCAGTGAACGAGAATGATTCACTTAAAGATTTGTTCAAAACCATTTAACTGAGGACCGAAGATTTTCATCCAGCTATAAATCCAGTTTTCTTCTTCAAGACACGTAGACCGTTTAGAAACTTTTATTAATCCCTTAAAAACTCCAATGACGTCAATTACTTAATTAAGGTTAAGGAAAGGATGTTAACAAACTAGCCTATACCTCAACAGACATAAATAATTAACCGGGACGCAATTAAATTCACTGCCTCTTGTGTCGCGGACGTGTAACAGAATCCAGATTTATTCAGTCATCAGAGAAAGGCAGACCGAGAGGAAATAAGGTCGGCATTTCTGTTGGAGAGAATTGTGATTGCAGACTATCGACTGACATGAGACTGACACTGCAGGCTACTTGAAGAAAAGACAGCAAGCTGAGTACGAACAAAGAGAAGAGTCCATTAACACAACAATCAGCAGAGACGCTCACAGCCAACAATGGCCTGCCTGTACACCTGATAGCTTACTTTAAAGTGTATTCAATTCGCTTGTTACAGTAGCCAATAAATGTTGTGAAGTAAAGGTTCTCAACAATCAAAAAAGTATTTATTCATTTTTTTGCTGCTTATTCAAGCTAATTATCTGAAACAACGCAATTTTTTAACCTAATTTTAGGGACAACTTAAGGGTTTTATGTTTAATCCACCTAAATTCATTCATTCATTCATTTTCTTGTTGGCT